CACCGACTCAATGGACATGAGTTTGAATAAACTCCGGGAGTTGGCGATAGACAGGGAGGCCAGGCATGCTGCAGTCCATGGGGTTGCAAGGAGTTGAATATGACTGAGCAACTGAACTGAGTCACTGATACTGCTACTTAAAATTTTTAAGAATTGATTTATTAAGGAGCAAGCTTCAGGTAATTGGGATGTAATTAATACAAAAATGTGATGCTGATTGTCAAAATCATACGTCTCAAATTGACATGTGAAGGATGTTATCATGTTGAGCACTTTAGATACAAAACAGTAATTATTCACTGTCATAGTCTATAGATTCAGTACGTTTATTTATCTGTAACTCATGTGCCCCTTATAAGTTTTTCTTTATTTGTACACACTGTTACTTGGTATGCTGATTTCTGCCCAAACAAATTAGAAAAATTTTATAGATTATAGCTACTCCTATGAAATTGTATCTTAGCAGGTGCTGATTAGTAAGCTTTGATAAAATTTTGATTTAAAGAAAATATTACTGACCTCTTTATAAAAAATGTATATGTATATACACTCTGTCAGGGGACTAAATGTGGATATCTATTTAAACTAAGGGAATGTGTTTCTTTTTCATTTTTTAACTCACCTCTAAGTTAAGAAGGTTTCTATTATATTTGCTGGAAGTTACCATCATGGTGCTTGATAATTTTAAGAATTATATTTTTCTTTTGTCTGATATTTCATCTTCTTATACCAAATAAATCTGATTTGCAGTCTAGTTTTGATTCATTTTTTCTCTTTAGTACTTAGGTTCTTTTGCTTTATTTGATCACAGTAGTTACCTAGCCAGGTAAGAGATTTACCATCAGGAAATAATGTATGTGTTCTATATGTTTAGACACAGTTGACGATTTCACTTGACTGGGAAGTTGTGCAGAGGTTTCATTAAAATATGCTTCATTTTTTTCTTATGCTCTCATTTCACTAATTTTGGAAAAAGCAAACATCTTCCTGAAACATACATATTTCAAATGTTCTCTTAGCATATTTTCCTGTGCATGAAACTAAAGGGAGTTTAGTTAGGAGTCTGTTGCAGTCACCTGGGGAAGAAATAATGGTAGCATGGATTAAGATTTGGCAAAGAGATAATGAGAAGTGAATAGAGTTGAGAGTTATTTGGATCATAGCTCAGTTGGTAAAGAATCCACCTGTAATGCAGGAGACCCTGGTTTGATCCCTGGGTCAAGAAGGTCTGCTGGAAAAGGGATAGGCTACCCACTCCAGTATTGTCTTTCCTTGTGGCTCAGCTGGTAAAGAATCTGCCTTCAATGAGGGAGACCTGGGTCCCATTCCTGGGTTGGGGAGATCCCCCTGGAAAAGGGAAAGGCCACCCACTCTGGTATTCTGGCCTGGAGAATTCCATAGTCCATGGGGTCGCAAAGAGTCAGACATGACTGAATGACTTTCACTTACACTTTATTTGGATATAGAATTGGAAGTTAAAATTGTTAGATGCAGGCCTTACATATATGGTGTAGTTTTAGTCCTTTTGAAATTAGCTCTCTTAAAACACTATTTTATGGCTCTTGTTTGCAGTCTTATATTGATGTTGCATTGCTTAGACTTGTTTTTTTCTTGTGGCCCAGCTTTATAATCCCTTGATTAAATGGGTATCTGTGACTACCCTTCTTTTTGTCTTTAATGCAACTTTGACTAATTGTTAATACAGTGGTTTTTCCAAAGGTATAATGAGTCTGGTGGCTGTTTCCCTCCTTTCTCCTAATAGTGAATTGGCTTTCAGGGATAAGTTAGTGGGGCTCATAATATTGTTTTGTTTTTGCCTGTTTTTTGTTTTTTTTTTAATGTTAGGTTTGAATTCAGGCGATAATACTTTTGAAATGTTACACTTTTCTTCAGTAAGCATAGTTTCTATTTTATTGTTGAAATGTTTATATACATAGAATTTTCAGTCTTTTAAGAATACCTCAAAGACAGTTTTTTCATTATCTTAGTTGAATTTTATGGCATTAAAATTCAAAAGTTATGTTGAACAAGAGGTCTCAAATATTTTCAAACATGCTGCAGGTTATCTAGCCTCTCTGTATATTACAGCTTGACTTTTAAATTAGCAGTGAATGTTTATTAGTTATTTTGTTCTATCTAGGGGTTTTATATTTATGTATATCTGTGGATGTATAATTTTTTTTTTTAAATAACATTCTTTGTAAAATTTTTAGGTTTTCTCTTTTATTCTTATATGTTTCAACACTTCACTGTTAGGTTGTTCTTAGGATTACTCAGGGAGTACTTTGTTTTCTTACATAATTGGTTTCCTTATAATTTTTTCTTAATTCCTCACCAAAGTACAACTTAAAAAGAAAGCTTTTTAGATGAAAGGCCAGAACTCTGTTATCTTAATGACAGTCATCGCAAAGAATACAAAGATGAAAGTTCGAGTTGTGTCTTGATTATGTGTGATCTCAGAAATTTCTTACGTATGATTGTTTTAGAAATATTTGCTACTTATAGGTACCATTCATCCAGAGTGAACCTTTCTTTTTCATATGGATATTTAAAAGAAAAATCAAAGCAATAGTTACTGTGTTTGAAAGCCTCAGTAGTTATTCTATCAAGTATATTACTGTTTTATGCCCTACATTTCATTTTATAATTATCTTCCTGAAATTTTCTTAAGTGCTTGGTGATAAAGTGTAATTATAGTTTAAGACAAACAAAAATGAGAGAACTGAAAACATAAAGATTGTTTGCATTTTGAGTATCATCTGTGGTTTGTATTGTGATAGCTGATTACCCAAGTAACAAAGTCGCAGAATTACAGCCTTATCTCTTGCCATGAGTTCATCCTTGAAAACTAGGGTCCCAGTACCTATCTTGCCTTTTTTTGTTTAAAAAAAAAAGGAGTTTGTTTAATTAAGGCATAAGGGTGTATTTAGTGAATCCTGTGGTTGTTGATATCCATGTTGTTCTGCTGGAAGTTGGTAGCAGCTTAGCATGTTTCAGAGTAAATGTGTATCTGAAGGGTAGCATGACTTTAGGAGAGAATTATTTTATTTAATTACACTTTTGGTAAAGTGTTACCTCAAATAACACATTTCAGAGAACCATATTATTTAGAAATAGTATTTTTTTGTCATTTCCTTTTTCAGAATTAGTTATATTAAAACTTTTTTTCATAGAAAAATTGGAGGATGAACTTTATACCTTGTACCTGTATTCACACCTGTTAACATCTTGCCACCACTGCATGTTCACACACAGACACATGCTTTTATTTTGCCAAATTATCTGAAAGTAGGTTACAGGCATCATGGCACTTCATCCTTAAATTCTTCAGCATGTATCTACCAAGAACAAGGACACCTCCTACATATTCACCATTTATTATATTTTTTTTTGTAAAAACATAAACATTAATTTAGTAATATTATCTAACATATGGTTCATATTCAAGTTTCTTCAACCCCAAAATGTCCTTTATAATGGTTTGTTTTCATCTGGGATTCAGTCAAAGTTCACACCCTGTATTCAATTATTTTGTCTTTTGAGTCTCCCCCAAACTAGGAGAGTCCTACTGTATTGCTTGTTTTTTTTTCTTTTTTATACTTAAAAAATTCTATTTATTTGGCTATGGAGGATCTTAGTTGCGGCACATGGGATTTAGCTCCTCCACCAGATCTCGCTCCCTTTGTTGGCAGCACGAAGTCTTAGCCACAGGACCACCAGGGAGTTCCCCTTGCTTGTTTTTTATGACTTTGAACTCTGTAGATTCATCAAAAACATTTCACCAGTGTTTAATGAATTGTCACAAGGTAAATACTCTTGTCTAATCTCATTGCTCAGCTCATAAATGGAAAGTACTCATTATGTCTGCTGTGTCTGATTTACACCACCCAGTATGTTTTTTTTGTCAGATTTACCCAAGTTTTGTATTTAGTCACTTTAATTGCTATGTAGTATTCCAGTGTGAGAATCTACCATAGTTTGTTTATTCATTCTACTTTTGACGGATATCTGATTTGTTTCAAGTTTTTGACTAACATGAGTAAAGTTGCTGTGAATGTTTCTGTGGATATCTTTTGGGATCAGTAGTTGGATATAGAATTGCCTGTGGGAAAGGATTTTGGCAATTTCTTTATCTAGGCAAGATCTGGAGTGCTGCTGTTTTCAGCTGCTGGAATCCTGTCAGAACCTTTCATAAAATACTGAGAGCATAGTTTTGAATTTTATTTATGTAAATGTTAATGTATTATTTGATATCCAACAGTACCAGATCTGTGTGCTACTTACTATAAAGGCAGCCCTTGCTGACACAATCCAAAAAGGGAATGCTGTTTATTCTGTCTGCTTGAGAAGTACAGAGCTCCATGTTTTGTTGGATGGGAAATTATATCAACTCATTTATAAATTTAGATGGAGTATCACCACATACAGTATTTTAATTTTTGGATTTTAGAATCTTATTAAGATGGTATAAGTACTTTGTCATATCTGTGACCTTAAGAGATCTTATAAATTTTGTACCTCACAGAACTAAATGAAGGCAGTTTATTTAAACACGTGTATGCATAGATAGCTGAAACTCCCTTATTGTAAATTGTGGAACTTGTAATCAGCTGTTTATATAGGTATCTACAGCACCACTAGGGACTGAATTTAAAAACCATGTAAAAGCTCTCCTGTATAAGAAAGATGGCTTCCCTGGGGGCTCAGATGTGAAGAATCTGCCTGCCATGCAGGAGACCTGGGTTTGATCACTGGTTTGGGAAGATCCCCTGGAGGAGGGCATGGCAACCCACTCCAGTATTCTTGCCTGGAGAATCCCACAGACAGAGGAGCCTGGCAGGCTATAGTCCATGTGGTCGCAAAGAGTCAGACACAGCTGAGTGGGTAGCTCACTCATAAGAAAGAAGCAAGAACAGCAAAACTAGCAGAGCAAAAGCAAACTTCTCTTCATGCTTCTGTATATGTTCATTGATTTTCACATACATATTTTTTTTTTCCAGTAGTGGCTACGGAGGAAGTAGTTACTGCAGAATCTGTGGATGGTGCAATTCAGCAAGTAGTTAGTTCAGGGGGTCAGCAAGTCATCACAATAGTTACAGATGGAATTCAGCTTGGAAATTTGCACTCCATTCCAACAAGTGGAATAGGTCAGCCCATCATTGTGACCATGCCAGATGGACAACAAGGTTGGTAGAAGGCATTTACATAAAAGGTGTTTATTCTTAATTCTCATGAAATTGTGTCATGTTTTTCTTTCTTTTTTTTTTCCACGTTTTTCAAAACATTTATTTTTGCCTTAAAGTATGTTTTTGTAACATTTTACAACAGACTTAATTGCCTAATTGTATTTTCTTTGTTGTTCATTCACTAAGCTACTATTAAAGTTAACTTGCTTTCTCTGAGTGTATATTAGGTAGAAAGAGGAACTGGCCCCAAAATAATCTTATTGGAAAACGAGCTTAAGTAAATATTTCAATATCAGTATAGGACAGTACTTTCCTAGGCCATTTAATATAGTTCAGATATTGTATGAGTTTGTAAAAACACTATGTGAGAAAAGACTCCTCTAAAAGAAGTTGAACACGGTGGCAACTTTTAGCAGCTTTGTTGATAATTGTCCCATTTTTTTCATTTTGAGTAATAAGAAAGTAGTAATAAAATGGATGAAACATAAGCCCCAGGTACATTTTGATCAAACTAAAAGGCTGAGAAAACCACAAAATTCCATATTTTAAGTGATTGCCAAAAACATCTTAAGATCTAAGCCAGGGCAGGAGAACCCTCAGGGAAACCCATAGTTGTACATCAAGAAAAGGAGTTGAGCTCAGAAAACAGCAATAAATAAACACTTGCATCAAGACAGGGCCCAGTCTGAGTGGGCAGTGCTGCAAGTAGGGTTAAAATAGACTAGACATGAAAGCTGAAGGAAGCAGAAAGAGAAGGTGCAGAAAGTTCCTATCTGAGCAAGCATCACCCTGTACCCAGTATTTCCCAATCCCTGCCCTGACCTAAAAGAAAAGTATGTGCACACATAACCTTCTGGAAAATGACTCAGGACTGTAGAGACTAAGCCTCTTCATGGCCATGAAGGAAGTGGGGGAAGGGAAGGACTGGAGGGAGAAGTCCTCCTAAACCAGGCTTGGTTGAGAGTGTCAAGGAGGTATGGCCCTGCAGAGAGACGAGGTCTCAAGGGAAGATTTTGTTGCTTTAGCAGTGGAGGAGGAAACGCTTGACCTGTGAAGCCTGGGAGGCTTTTCTCTCCTGCAGGTGCTCCAGGATTTGGATCAAGACCAGGTACTTTCACAAGCTTTAAGGAATAATTCTAACTATATAGAAAAGAAGCAGCTTTCAGAGTATTTGTTTTAAGCAAACACAGCATTGTTTCCAAAACTTGATATTGTACACACAGACTAATCTCATTGATGAACAAATGGAAAGAAACTCATGTTTTTGGATAAAATGACTCACTGTCATAAAGCTCTCAATTCCTCCTGACCTAATTGATAAATGTAATGCGATAGGGGGGAAAGGCTGTATTTAATAGGACTGCCATAACAAACTGTCACAGTCTGGGCGACTTAACAGAAATTTATCTTCTCGCAGCACTGAAGGCTGAAAGTCCAAGATCAAGGTGCTGGCTTTTTCTGAGGCCTTTCTCCTTGGAATGGCTGCCTTCCTGTTGTATCCTTACAGTCACCCCTCAGTCTGTGTATGTTGTCTGCGACCTAACCTCTTACAAGGACAGCAGTCATACTGCGTTAGGACCCATTCAAATCATCTAATTTTACCTGTTTAACGTTTTTAAAGGCCCTGTCTCCAAATGCATTCTGAGGTACTGAGGATTAGGACTTAAACATTTGAATTTTGAGGGGGACACAATTTAGGCCATAATAAAAACCAATAGGTCTTTTTCTGGAACTTGCCAAACCGATTCTGAAATTTATACTGATGGAGGAGGAGGGAGAGCAATGAGGGGAACTTACTGAATATTAATATAAACATTTAAAGCCTTCATAATTTAAAATTATAAATGGCATATGACTATATAGACTATGTAGACAGTCCAGTGAGACAAATGTAAAGTTCTCAGTTCTTTTTGAGTGAATTTTTAAATGTTGTATGATATGAGTTAAAAGAAATACTTTAATTCTCAATATTTTTAATGTTTTTAATTATTAATAGTTTTACTATTTTTCGTTTGTTTACATTTATAAATGACAGTAGGAGAGTTTTTAATATTTTGATGTTAGAAGCTGTGGGACAGTTGTATTTTCCCCAATGATTAGTAAGATTGTTTTGCATAGTTTAAACTTGCACAGTCATATTCATGTTCTTGCTCTGTTATGCAAAGTAAGGACAGCCTGTCCCTCTCAGTATATTTACATTTGTATAAATAGATACTAAAAATTGGGGCAAAGTCCAACAACCCAATGGAAGAGCAAAGCTTATGAGCAGACAGTGTTCATAACAGTGTATCCACATAGTGGAATATAATGCAGCTAAATTAAAGAAAGCTCTGTAAGTATTGATGAAAGGTACCTAGATAAATGAAGTGAAAACAGCAGATACTTTCGTGGAAGAAAGAGAATTGCAAATTCATATTCGTTTTTACATGAATGAACACAAGAACAATGCATAAGAAACCAATAAAAGCGATTATCTGTTAGCAAAATATGCTTCTTAAATATTATTTTGATTTTGAGCCATATGAATGAATATATTATCTATAAAATTAAAAAGTAGGTGCTTTAAATGATAGTTTTCAGTAAAAAGGCAAGAAGTTGAAGACAAAAATATGGACATTTCTCATAAAAAGGAACTCAGTGTTACGAAATTACTGTTTTTGGAATGTATTTATCTTAGATGAGTTGCGTCAACAATATCAAGACTAGTTTTAATTCTTCTAAACCTATCTGAAAATGAAGTAATGAGTAAATTTTTTCATTTTAGTATTAACAGTACCAGCAACGGACATTGCTGAAGAAACTGTTATAAGTGAAGAACCACCAGCCAAAAGACAATGTATCGAAATAATTGAAAACCGGGTGGAGTCTGCAGAAATAGAAGTAAGGAGTCTTTTACCCGGTGTGTTTTGCTGCAGTCATCCAAAATAAATTTCATCTGCTTTTTTTTTTTGTCTTTATATTTATTACTGACAGTATTGTTTTGATATAGAATGAGTACTTTTTGTCTAATTTTTTTTTTGCCTTATTCATATAGCAAGCCTTCAATAAATAAATATTGAATGAATGAATGAATGAGTGAAGAATCTGTTTGTAACAGTCTTTCATCATGGTAACATTGGAATGTCTTTGGTTTTTGCACTTCATCCTTTATATTCTATTAAATTTACATACATCATTCTCACAGTCACTAAAGGGAATGTCACTATATATTGACTAAACATTGTTTTCTTTCAAAAATGAAATGCAAATGCCTGTTTGGCCTGGAGGATCCTCTTAAAGAATGTTGGAGTTTGTCAACTGAGTTATTTTTTTGAAAAAGCCATAGATAACCACTTATTTCACTGTTGAGTCCATTAAGGAAATTAAATGTAGACTAGCTGTTGATAAGGTCATCTTTTTTTACCTCTGCCAATCTAGTTTGAAATTGTAAACTAGTTTTTAAATATGACTATACAATAGTTACCTCATAGATTTTTTTCTCACATTACTGTAAATAGAATTGTTCCCCAGATTTTATAATTAACTAACATCAAAATGAAAATAAGATCATCCTTGAATAACTTTGAAAGAGCAACTGCAATATAAAGACAAGAAGTTTGGATTTGAAATTAAATGAGCTGGATTTGAATCCCACTTCTTGCCCCTCCTGTTAGCTTTGAGGCAAGTTATCTTACCTTTCTGCACTTGTTTTATTTTCTCCCACATTTGAATTTAAGATAACAATATCTGCATTTTGGGGGTTTTATGAGAGTTGAAAAAGTCAGCCTATTGTTATATTCACATTCATAATATCTAATATATGTGAATAGTAAACATTGGCGAGTATTTAGGAATTCTTTGTTAAAGTTCTTGTATTTAAAAAATGTATTAAAAAATAAGTATTTAAAAAAATGTCACCTAAAGGAAACATAATTCTAACTGAGGACAGTTAGAAAATATTCTTGCCCAAATTCATTTACATGTAAGACTAGTGGTCACAATCTCAAAGTATGTATTACTGAGTTAAGAAGAATTTAATTCATGGTTTAGCCAGATGTTTAGTAATGTTTAATTATTGAGGGTGTATTGTTTTATTTCTTCAAAATTTAGAGTGATACACTAAAGTTTTTATAAATTAACCATTTATTTCATTGAATGGTGTCAGTATACTTATTATTTAATCTTTAATATCTTTTACAGGTAAATCAGTTGATCTTTTTTTTCTGGAATATAAAATGAAAAAGATTTTGTCATGTACTTTGCTTTAACTATTTAATAAAACACTTTTAAATTACTTGAATTTTTATTGAACATAAACTGACTCAATTCAACATTTCTTTTAATTGAAGTACAGTTGATTTATGTGAGTTCACCATTTTTAAAACAGTGAATATGCAGCTTGTATTTTTTATTTACCTAATGATCAGGGAGAGTTGCTGTTTTCTTCAAAGTTCACCCTAATTCCACCTACAGTCTTTTCAGAAACCAGGGAGAATAATTACAAATAACAAGGAAGTATGAGTTGAGGTATATAGATTAACTAGAATCAAGGAGACAGCACTTCAGGGAGATGGAATTTTACCTTGATATAAAGAACTTAAGGAAGTTAGAGTTTCAGCTCAATTTTAGTAATTAGAGTTATCTGGCAATAGAAATCTTATTTGCCATTACCGGAAATGTTCAGGCCAACGCTGCATAATCTTAGAGCTACTGCAGAGAGACCTTGAAGCATAGAGTGAGCAGAGGTGGTAGAGGTGGACAGGGGATACAGAATGAAGAGAGACCTCCAATGTTCTCAGTAAACCGTTTCCTTAGAGTACATGCAGTAGTTCTTTGGATTTTATTTTCATAGATGACCAGTAGAGTTATCTTAGGGGTATACTTTTATATTCCTTTCTAAGTGATTGCTTGGCCATCAGAAGTTTCTCTAAAGCAGTGGTTCTTAACTGGAGCAGTTTTGACCCCAGGGGACATTTGGCAATATCTGCATACATTTCAGGTTGTCACAGTGAGGGAAATGCCACTGACATTTATGGGATAGAGGCCGGGGATGCTGCTAAACAAACATTCCATAGGGTGTGTTTTGCCTTCTGTTCAGCCTTCATAGTGGAAAAGCAGCCACAGACAGGTTAGTAATGAGTGGGTATGGCTGTATTTCTGTAGAACTTTATTTATAAAACAGGATCATGTTTGGCCCATGGCAGTTAGAGGATGTTTACACACAAGCAGATAGCTCACACACCCTGCCTCAGTTTCTTTTTTAAAAAAACATTTAATGGTTAAGAATATGAGCCTGGAATCAAATTTAGGTTTGAATGATAATGTTCTGAGTGTGATTGGTCAAGTTTTTTAACCTTTCAAGGCTTGGCTTCCCCATCCGTAAGAAGGGGAAAATAATAGCTCCTACATTATTAAATTGTTGTAAGGTTCAAATGAGAATGCATGTGAAGGACTAGTACAGTGGTGAGCACATAGTAAATGCTTAGTAACTTGCTATTATTACTATCTTCTAAAAGTTACACTGAGGTATGGTAGAAGATAAGTCACTATTATGGTTTTTTTGCTTTATAATAGGTAAAGTAAAATAAATTTGAATATTAAAAAATCACATATAAAACTTAAAAGATAATTGCTAATAGTTGAAGCAGAATTTGAGAATATTTGGAAATAAGAAAGCAAATTTGAAACCTTTGTTCCATTATTCTATTGCCTAATTAATAATAATATATTGTTGGGCATGAAGTTGTAGTGTAAGACAAATATCTTCCTTATTGGTTTCATAGACTGAAATAATTGTGAGTCTCTTGCTCTGTCTAAATCTGAATAAATAGCTAATTTTATAAGGTACCTTGAAGTTTATCTTTCTAATATTTCCTACCAAATCAGGGTAAGTTTTTATCCATATTCAAAACTTTGATTGGCAAAGGATCTTATTAGGACAGGTAAAATGGTAAAACATTTTAATGCTCGGCTGTGTGTTCTCCTACCAGAGCAAGGTGGTCTAGCTTGCACCCTTTCTAAAGTCCTGCAGTTTACTGCCAGGGACTGGTGTCCATTGCTTATATGAGTTTGGCATCTTGCCTGTAGTAAGGAGAAAAGAGTAGCAGGGTAGGGCTTAGGCATTTCTTAACTTGGAGATGACGGACACATCTTCTACTGTACATTGTATGTAATTGGACAATTTGGAGACTACATGTGTAATCAATCACTCCAACTTTTGGTGGACTCATGGGAAAAACTAATGTTGGATCTAGCTTCATTCCCAGTGGAAGGAAGGCAGTGGGATCACAGGAAGGCAGGACTGTTATACATGTTCCTCCTATGGATCATGTGAGTAGTGAAGGGAAGGGGATCTTTTGGCGTTCCCAATGGACATGGGTCAAGGAGAGAGTGGAAGAGACCCTCATAGTGTCCTCTTTCCCAGCAAGCTGCCAACCCCTTGCCTTTACCTTCAGTTTTCTCTGGTTAAGTTGAACCTGGCCTCATTTTGTGACTATTAGTTCTGCTGTTGTCACCCACCTCATTCAGAGGGCTTGTGCTTCTGAGATTAGATTGAGCTTGGGCCTGTGCAAGTTGAGTTTTTGTCCATATACTTACTGGAGGTATGGGAAAGGAGTTGAAATGTTTTCCCTTAGACAACTGTATAAGGGCAGAGTGAGGAGGAGGAGAAAGAATATCATTTTCATTGGACCAGATTTATGTTTCGCCCTCAATTTATTCAGGAACTTAATACACGTCTTTTACAATATATAATGAATCACAATAGAGAAATTAATATTTTAATGGTTTGTAAAATGATATAATTTAGGAAATACTGATCTAGACCAGCCCTCTTCATTTTGAAGGTGAGGAATCTTGCTTGCTATCATAGGAAATGATAGTCTTAAACAAAGTAATAGTAGAACCTCATAAACCTGACTCCTTATTAAAATTGTATTATGGGAAAGCTACATCATCTCTGAGCACCATTTTTCTCATCTATAAAATGGGCATAATATCTATCTTAGAGACATTATTGGAAATCACCTTGTTAATCAACATATATAATGGGTTTTCAATAAATACTATTTCTTTTATAATTAGTAGCTTTTTAACATCACAGATAAAGATATAAAGAGGTATGGCTATGTATTTCCCTATTTAAATTTTTCACTAGTTTTTATAGTTGGTATAAAAGTACAGGTACCCAGTTTGGGTTCATCATGGTAGTTTTATTTCTAATTAGCAAATAATTTCCTTGAGGTCAGAAACTAATCTTTATCTCATAGTGAGAAGCTCAAAATGAGGGCTTTAATTATAAGGGAATTGGTTGAAAAGGCATGATGTCCCAGAAATAGCAATAGATAGCTACTTTTAACTACTATAGATTTCTTTATTTATAGGATATATGCTTGAATGTGTTAATGTATTTGTGCAGTTATGAAAAAGAAAACCTTTTTTTTTTAATTAGGAGAGAGAAGCTCTTCAAAAACAGCTGGATGAAGCTAATCGAGAAGCACAGAAATACCGACAGCAACTTCTAAAGAAAGAACAGGAAGCAGAGGCCTACAGACAGAAATTAGAAGCTATGACGCGTCTTCAGACTAATAAAGAAGCTGTTTAACTGAAATGAACATATAGTTTGAGTTTACTTTTGCTCAAGAAAGAATACAATCTCGAACTGTACATAATAAGGTGCAGTCATGGGAAGACAGGATAATTGGAGAGACTGCAGATGGATAACTGGACTTAAGCCATGAGCTCTGAGTTCTTGTAACATAAAACTTTAGAAGTTGTGAAATGTATTTAAAACTGAATTCTGTAAATAGTTGGGTTTTTTTTTACAGTTCCAAATGAGTTGATAAAGATTGTTGAAGAGATCCAAAAACACAATAAGCCACCGTTTTTGTGAATTCTTTTTGATATTAGTATGAACCTTAATTTCTCAGAAATGGAACAGTTTTAAGGGTGATCATTGTTGATTAGACCAAATGTATAATAATTATGTGGTGGACTGATGCTGGAATTACTCCTGTCGGTATAAACTTCTATATGAAGAGAAGATTTCTACCAGGAAATCTTTGTACAGCTTTAAGTTGTCTCAGATTCTCTGAAAACATTTTTTAGAAAGCAGATTTTTATATTTGTTCAATTTCAGCTATACCCAAGTAGATTTACATGTATATGAAGCAAATATTTTTTAAAACTTTCTGTTTGTACATATTCTGCATGTTTTATAATTTTGGAATGCATCACTTGCATAGGTATTATTTTTCCCACAAAGATGATGAAAGTTACTAGGAAAGAAACCCTTTTATTCTGTAGGTCCTTGAAACTAAGTAAGCTAGCAGCTGGTTTTATTGGAATGACAATGTTCTTGGAAGGAGCAGCTTACAAGATACCTTGAATTTGCAAACTGCAAAATTTATGCTTTTTTGAAAATTTCGTAGTGGGGACGTGAAACTATTCTGTGCCTTCCATCATGATTTCCACATGAAAGCACTTTAAGGCACTGGATTTTAAGATAATGTTTTTGGAAAACTCAAAACATATGGGTTTCTGAAATACTTCATGGACTCATTCCCCCCCCACCCCCCAGGAAATTATTCTTACAGAAAAAAAAAATTGCTTTTGTATGTAGAACAAGAACTTTTTGTACTACAGTGATGCTATAGATATGTCTAACATAAATTTTACTTCTCCCTGTGAAAGCTGTAAGTCTGTGCTGTGACTGGCTCTCATCACAGTATTGTTGAATTCTACAAATGTATGGACATTAAACTCTGACATACTGTTGCTTTTTTTTGTAAAACATAACTTCAAGCTCTTTTCTTGGTTTATTTTTTAATGTTTTATTGCTTTATGAAAATGTTTAACCCTAAGACCCTTCTAGATTACCTATACTGTATAAAGAAGCAGTTACCCTTAAAACTGTACTCTGGCCTACTTTTCTATTTTACAATTAAATATCTTTTCCACATATGTTCAGTGTAGACTTATATTTTTTACCACATTTTTTCACACATTAAAAAGTTTGTTCTGTGTATTAAGGCAGTATTCCACCCTTGCTGTTGAGTCACTGAGTCATGTCCAGCTCTCTGTGACTCTGTAACTACAGCACACCAGGTCTTCCCCCGTCCCCTGGAGTGTGCTCAAAGTCCTGTCCTTCGAGTGAGTGATGCTGTCTAACCATCACGTCCTCTGCCCCCTATTCTCCTTTTGCCTTTAGTCTTTCCCAGCATCAGGATCTTTTCCAGTGAGTTGGCTCTTCTCATCCAAACTATTGGAGCTTCAGCTTTAGCATCAGTCTTTCTAGTGAATATTCAGGGTTGATTTCCTTTAGAATTGATTGGTTTGATCTTGTTGCAGTTCAAGGACTATCAAGAGTCTTCTACACCACAATTTGAAAGCATCAATTCTTTGATGCTCAGTGTTCTTTATGGTCCAAACTCTCATCCATATGTGACTACTGGAAAAACCATAGCTTTGACTAGACGGACCTTTGTTGGCAAAGTGATGTCTCTGCTTTTTAATATGTTGTCTAGGTTGTTCATAACTTTCCTTCCAAGGAGTGAGCATCTTTTAATTTCATGGCTGCAGCCACCATCTGCAGTGATTTTGGAGCCCAAGGAAACAAAGTTGGTCACTGCTTTCACTTTTCCTCCTTCTATTTGCCATAAAGGGATGTGACCGGATACCATCTTAGTTTTTTTCTTAGTTTAGTTTTTTTCATGTTGAGTTTCAAGCCAGCTTTTTCACTCTTCTCTTTCACCCTCATCAAGAGGCTCTTTAGTTTCTCTTCACTTTCTGCCATTAGAGTGGTATCATCTCCATATTTGAGGTTGGTATTTCTCTTGGCAGTCTTTATTCCAGCTGCTGAATCATCCAGCCTAGCATTTCGCATGATGTACTCTACATACACTTGATGGACATGAGTTTGAGCAAGCTCTAGGAGTTGATGGACAGGGAAGCCTGGTGCGCTGCAATTCATGGGGTTGCAGAGTTGGACACAACTGACTGACTGAACTGAACTCTACATATAAGTTAAATACGCAGGGTGACAATATATAGCCTTATTGTATGCCTTTCCCAATTTTGAACCAGTTTGTTGCATGTCCGATTCTAACTGTTGCTTCTTGACCTGCCTGCAGGTTTCTCAGGAGACAGGTAAGGTGGTCTGGTACTCCCATCTACAGATTTTCCAGTTTGCTGTGATCTACACAGTCAAAGGCTTCAGAGTAGGCAGCGAAGCAGCAGTAGACATTTTTCTGGAGCTCCCTTGCTTTCTCCTAGATGCAATGAATGTTGGCAATTTGATCTCTGGTTCCTCTGCCTCTTTGAAACCCAACTTGTACATCTAGAAGTTCTCAATTCATGTATTGTTGAAGCCTAGCTTGAAGGTTTTTGAACATAACCTTACTAGCATGTGAAATAAGTGCAATTGTACTGTAGTTTGAACATTCTTTGGCATTGCACTTCTTTGGGATTGGAAGAAAAACTGACCATTTCCAGTACTGTGGCCACTGCTGAGTTTTCCAAGTTTGCTGACTTACTGAGTGCAACAGTATCATCTTTTAGGGTTTTAATTAGCTCATCACCTCCACTAACTTTGTTCCTGGTAATGCTTCCTAAGGCTCATTTGACTTCACACTCCAGGATATCCAGTTCTAGGTGAGTGAGCATGCCATCGTGGTAATCTGGGTCATTTAGACCTTTTTAAAATAGTTCTTCTCCGTATTCTTGTCATCTCTTAAATTTCTTCTGCTTCTCTTAGGTCCTTACTCTTTCTGGACGTGGACAAGCAGGAAATGGCAAGATTGGACATTAATGTCTTAGGAAAAAGTGAGCTAAAGTGAATGGGAATGGGGAATTTAATTCAAGTGACCATCATATCTACTACTGTGGGTAAGAATCCCTTAGAACAAATGGAGTAGCCCTCATAGTCAACAAGAGTCCAAAATGCAGTACTTGGGTGCAACCTCAAAAATGCCAGAATGATCTCGGTTTATTTCCAAGGCAAACCAACATCACAGTAATCCAAGTCTGTGCCTCCAACCACTGATGCAAAGAAGCTGAAGTTGACCTATGAAGACCTATAACACCTTCTAGAACTAACATCAAAAAAAGAAGTCTTTTCATCATAGAAGATTGGAATGCAAAAGTAGGACGTCAAGAGATACCCGGATTAACAGGAAAGTTTGGCCTTGGAGTACAAAATGAAGCAGGGTGAAGGCTAATGGTTTTGTCAAGAGAACGCACTAGTCATAAGAAACACCCATTCCCAACAACCCAAAAGGTGACTACGCATGGACATCACAAGATGATCAATACCAGAATCAGATTGATTATATTCTTTGCAGCCGAAGATGGAGAAACTTTGTACAGTCAACAAGAACAAGACCGGGAATTGACTGTACCTCAGATCATGAGCTGCTTATTGCAAAATTCAGGCTTAAATTGAAGAAAGTAGGGAAAACCACTAGACCATTCAGGTCTGACCTAAATCTAATCCCTTATAATTTGACACTGGAGATGACCAATAGATTCAAGGGATTAGATATGGTAGACAGAGTGCTTGAAGAACTATGGACAGAGGTTCACAATATTGTACAGGAGGCTGTGACTTTGGGGGAAGTCCACTTTTTTCAGAATCTGTTATGTTTGACTTGTTTAATTGCTCAATCATCTATGCCTGATTCACTGTACTATAAAATAAAAACTTAGACAAGAATTTATAACTAAAAAAGGGTATGCTTTTTCTTTTCTCTTTTTAGCTTCTGTTTTGAGGTGGGCTGGAAAAGCTTTGTATTCTACTTATTCTCAGTGGTGTTATGGGCAGAAGTTTAAAAGAACTGAGAATAAAATATTAACAATAAAAATTTTCAGAAATCCACATTTAATGTGTTTCTAGCACATAATGATGGATTTATAGTTAATGGTCAAGTTGCCACATTGATAGCTAATTATTTCCACTTATGTGTAAATGAACACCTTCCTTATTTTTTTAGAAAACAATACACATTTGCAGTATTTGTGTGAGAAACAAAGATGCATGGTGATGTTAATTTTTGCATTGGGTTAAGGATGTTTCTGTTTATATTTTCATGAAAGGCATCAGATACTGATTTTAAATGAGTAGATACCTTCTTGAGCAGCCCTTCTCAACTAGGGTTCTGTGAGAGAATCAAACCCTTGCAGAATGAAGCCCTAATGTCCTAAAGGTGAGGGCCTGATGAATTAATTCCTGGTAATGCATTAGTTTCTTTCCCATGCATCTGGAATAGTACTGGTTAGACACTGAGTTCATTACATGTCTTGATTGCCAATTACTTAATTAAGACTTCACTGTGTAGAGTTGCTAGAACTCTGAGATTATAAATTCTAGGTTGATCTGTGGTGATTTCAGGAAGCCTCTTCTGACAACTGGTATCTGCAGAGACTGTAATTCTCAAATAATTTTCATTTCTTGTTATTTTATTTATTTCTCAATTACTTCCCCAAAGGGCTTGTGATGTGATTTATTTTTATTAGAAGTTATTTTCTAATGTTGATCTTTCCTAATATCAACAGCAAGATAGTTTTTTATTTACTCTAGCTCTGGATTTGTCTATGATGATTGAGGGT